TTACCCTAATCCAATCTAGAAAGAGCATATTTTTAATTTCCCTTTGTGACATTGTGGGTGCATTTCGTACTTTTCAGCTTCCTTCGTAGTCCACAATTAGTGTTCTGAGAGCAGACTTTTCAGATATCCGAAAACTTGAAGCCTATGGGGCAAGCTAAACTGAATTAGTAGCGGCTCTCAGAATCTACCTTTTCAAGCTGCCAAATGGATGTCTACTCTACCTTTTCCAGTCCACCTAATTCATTGGATTAACTAACGCCTTCAATCAATGTGACTTCTATTTGTGATATTTGCAATATGTTTGATTTCTAGGAAGTCATCAGGTCATCATTACATTAACAACTGCTCATTGCTATTTTTCACTGAATATTGCCTTAATGTCAATACGTTTCGCTTTTTCTTTTCTCTCTCCAGGACTACGATAGGTGCGGAGGTGAGCCAGTGAGTCGTAGTAGTGCCGCCCCAACATGCTCGACAGGGACCAACTGAATGATGTAATCCTGCCCAGGCGAGTCAAGCCCTTCTCCCTCCAAGGTCTTTAGATTGGTACAGGTTTCTTGGCAACCAAAGCACTGGATTCTAACTTAGCAGGCCTTTTTGGACTAGTATATGAATCAACCATTAAGATACCACTGTGAATGGAAGTCGAATGCGTAATGCATCTCTAGTGGGTTTGATCGACAGGCATTTCACCTATAACCCCTTCCATACCTCCTGATGATTAGAGATGTTTATATGGTAGCTGCCTAGAGTAGAGCGTTGTGTATTGAGAATGTGTACTGTGATTTTCAAAGTGGAACTTCCAACGCAACAATAATCGTTCTCATGAGATAGTTCAATGAAGTATTCACACTACATGTTTTTTGTATGCTGATAGACGTAGCACCAGGGTAAAGAATCTATCACGGAGATGCTGTTTACCCTCCCCTTCAAAAAGCCAGAAAGTGTCGGGTGCAGACCATACACCACAAGTGACGACGGCCTCCACAAAATGCAAATGTTTTCTGCCAATGAAATGATTAGCCTGTTGCAGTTGTATTCTATCAGTTGTCACTAATTACAACTATCATTTACCAAAAATCAGCTATCACTATGAACCACTATT